AGAGAAACAACCATTCATTCTGTGGTTTAACCTCCCTAATGCATACGCTCGGTGTGGACGAGGCAGCCTCTATAGTTAGAGCCAGCTGGGCCCACACGCAGACTGTGACGCAGGCCAGTATTCACCTGATGCTGGCTTCCCAGGAGGTGGGGGTGGCAGTCAGCTGGGTGTCAAAAGATGACGGTGCTGGGGAAGGCAGTGGCGCCCCTCAGGGAAACACCTGCCCTTTCAGCCCTAGGAACCTCAGTGGGAGCAAGCAACATCGTCTTGCTTACATGTTCCCCACCAGAGCTCCGTTTGGCCTCCCTCAGCAGGCGGCAGTATGATTTATTGTCTAAAGGGACACTAGAGGTTGCAGTGTCCAGGAGCCCCTCACCGCACGTGGCTATGTGAGTTCACTGAAACGGAATAAAATGAAAAAGTCAGGTCCTCAGCCCCGCCAGCCATGGGCCAAGGGCTTGCTAGTCACACGTGGCTGGTGACTCCCCCGGAGGGCAGGACAGAGCGGAACATTCCCAGGGCTGCGGCCGGGCCTCTGAACGGCACTGCTTTCGGGAGTGAGAAGGGTGCTCACCAGGTGAGCAGTGGGACAGCAGGTGTGATCTGGAACCATCGCAGGTAAACCAGGACAAGTGATCACCCTGTCGTCAGGAAAGATATTTCACTTGGGCTGGAAATCACGGGATATTTAAAAAAAAAAAAAATCAACCCATGTCCCAAACCACAGAGTGCTGTCAGCCCACGGTACCCGAGGCAGGATGCTGCCACAGAGACTCGCGGATGCCCAGCACTGTCCACTGGTGGGAACGTCCCACAATCTCCCCAGTCCAACACGGTGGCCACTAGTCACGGTGGCTACTGAGCACTTGCACTATGGCTAGTGTGCCTGGGGAGCGAGTTTATTTCATTTCTCAGTGAAAACAGACAGCTGTGGCTACTGGCTACCCAACTGGTAGCCCCATTCCACACTGGGGAGGAGAAAATAGCGTTTCTCCCCAGGATCCCTGGGGACAGGAGCTCCGTGGGCGGCTGGAGAAGGCACAGGCCAGAATCAGGATGGAGGACAAAGGGCTGGAGGCTTTTGAGAGGAAGCAGCACCCTACCTCTTTGTTGGCGGAGCCTTCCGCGGGGTCACTGGGATGAAGGGGTGTACTTGAAGACTCTGCGCCCAGGGGCGAGGAGCTGCCCGGAGAGGGAGACTGGAAGAGGCAAGGGAACAACACAGTGAGAACCCGAGGGGCTGGGGAGCGCCCGGCCTGCAGGGAGGGACGAGGAGACAGCTGCGCACGACCCACCCAGCATTCGGGTGGGAAGAGAGCTTTGGAAAGGACTTGCCAAATGTATGTAACAGGCCTGGGTCTGCCCGGCTTTCCTTTAAATTCCTGCCATGTTTTCAAAGGGGCCCTTAGAGCTCGGCTCCCCCAGCCCCTCAGGCCAGGTGTTAATTAAACACAGCAAGATCTGAAAGGCAAACTTAAAGTTCTAGATGAAAACGCTAATACACACACGTTGGTGCTTTAAAAGTTTTTCTTACTGAAGGACACGAAGACTTTGGGTACTAAACGCCGGATAGATCACCTGCTCAAGAAGATCTGAGTGAAAAAAAGGAAAATTAGAGCCTGTATTTTGAAAGAGGCAGCTGGGATTGATGTTGATGACCGGAAACTGCACCACCTGTATTTTCCTAGTCAGTTCAGATTGCAAATATCTTTTGTGACTTAAACCACTGAAAATTCAGAGAAATTTCAGCATCCAAACAGCATTATCTTGGCTGTCCTTAGAAAAGTCCAAACATTCTGTTAAGTGATATATTTAAAGCAATTCCACTTCTAGTAGTTATCCAAAGGAAAACAACAACATGAATTCAAAAAGGTATCTGCACCCCCATGTTCACTGCAGCACTGACTATAGTGGCCAAGGTATGGCAGCAACTAAGTGTCACCCATAGACGGGTGGCTCAAGACGATGTGATACATATACACATACACATACATATACACATACACATACACACATACATATACATATACACATACAAATACATATACATATAGACATATATATACACATACATACACATACACACAATGATGATACTCAGCCATAAAAAAGAATGAAATGTTGGTATTTGTGACAAAATTAATGAGCCTAGAGGGGATGAGGCTAAATGAAATGTCAGACAGAGAAAGACAAATGCCATATGTATGATTTCACTTACATGTGAAGTCTAAAAAACAAAACAAATGAACAAACAAAATGAAACAGAAACAAACTCACAGATAGATAACTGATGGTTGCCAGAGGGGAGGAAGGTAGGGTGACGGGTGGAACAGGGAAAGGGGATTAAGAAATACAAACTTTCATTATAAGATAAGTCACTGGGATAGAGTGTACAGCACAGGGAGTGTCATCAGTAATATTGTAAGAACTATGTATGACTACAGATGGTTACTAGACTTACTGTGGTGATGACTTCGGAAAGTATATAAATGTTGCGTCGTTACGTTAGACACCGAAACTAAGGTAATATTCTATGTCAACAATGATTTAAAATTTTTAAAAATCTTTCATGAACAAAATAAGGCTTGAAAACAGGATCGGGGAGCATGGCCCCCAGCATGTGTGACGGCCTCAGCCTCCTGACACAGGCAGACCCTCCTGGAAGCCTGACACACAGCACGTGCTCCATACATACGTGCTGAATAAATGACCGAAGCAAGCAAGCAGGCACGGGACTAACCCCGGCTCTGAAGTTCCTCCCTAGCCGATCCTTGAACCTTCCTGTCGGCTCCAGAAACCTTGGGAGATGGAGGGAATCTCCAGGTGAGCCACAGATGCCTATGAATTCTGTAGCGACGGTCCTCTGAGAGCAAGAATGCTCTGCTTCGCGGTTTGTTGGTGATGTTTGATGGAGGACATAAAACGGAACCCACACAACATCTGTCCTCTGAGGAACCGTGGGGATGTGGACAGGGAGGTAAGTCCTGGGGAAAGGAAGCAACGATTGCTTGAATCTCACCTGATATCATGGCATTGGCTCCCTAGGGGAAGCCGAGGCACCGACAGCAGTGAAGTACCTCTGTGTGAAAAGCGAGAATGTTCCACAACGCAGTGGTGCTGAGGAGGGAAGGGGGCACATTAAAAAACAAGAGGGACCTCGGTGAGCAAGCAGTATGGGAAATCGTAAAAATACGAAATCTTTTCCCGAAAGTCTGAATTACAAGAAACACAGAGGCACCAAATGGGTTGAAAGAGGATGCGATGAAATGCAGAATTCTTCACACTGAGATGTTGTGTGGTCCCAGCCTATTGCTGTGAGACGTGGATTTATTTCCCATGAGCCCATGTTCCTGATTCTGAGCGGGGAGGTGAGGACCACTGAGTCTCTAAGACATTCACATGCAGAAAGCAGCTGCTGTGCAGAAAAGCCCAGGGAAACAGCAGACATAAAGCGCGCCGGGCCCTGAGGCATGGGGTGCAAGGAAACAGCCTTGCGTGCCTTTAAAAAGGAACACAGCATTTTTCACTCGGCACCCAGGAGAGTGGTGGGTACTTGCTGAGCTAGCTCTATGTGTAGCCTACTCGAAATTAATGTAGTAAAGTCTTCATAAGAATTTAATGCCTTTAAAATTTCCCAATTTTTCAAATTTGAAGGGCTTCCTTAGATATTTATGTGTCTCTATTTCCCCCCAAGCACTTGCCTCTGTCACAAGAATTTTAAGGGTCTTAGTCCCTGGGAAAGCCAGTGCAGCTGGCTTTTCTTTAATTACTTGGTTTGAAAGGCAGTGTGTCACCTTCATTAAAAACACAGCAACCCTCCCAAAGAGTCCCACAGTTCCTATCTCTTTGATTATTTTCTGTTGCAAATCTTCTAAAAATGGGTTCTTTGCAACGCGGTGGCACTGGATCAACTCAGGGTGATTTGAGTGGACAGCTTATCCAAACAGTACGCAGGGGTGGGGGAGAGCAGGTCAGACCCCTGGGTGCCCACCACAGTACCCAGACAAGAGGCACAAAGGCAACCGTGGTGGGCACTGCCCTCCCTGAAGTTCTCACAGGCCCCACACCGACCTTCGTCAGGGCCCACAGCCCCTCAGACACTCAATGCTCCAGCCTTCGGCACACAGATGAGCTCATTCATGTTTCCTTTTTGCAAGTGCAGTTCATTACTTCCATCTAGAGCAGTGGTTCTCAACCTTGGCTGCACATTAGAATCGCCTGGGAATCTTTTTAAAATCCTGATTTCTGGGCCTCATTCTCCAGAAATTCTGTTTCTTTGTTATGGGGTGGGGCCACAACATTAGTAACAAAGAAACAGGAGAAACAAAGTAACAGGAGCTCTTTGACAGGGATATTGTCTTATTCATCACTGTAATTCAAGTGCCTGGCCTCGGTCGCATAAACAGTAGGCACTCAGCAAACATTTATGACTTCAATGCATAAATGACTTCAATGTAGTCTGCAGCTTTGCCATGTTTTCTGACTTGCACAGAATGCAGATCAGCCACCACCCTTTTCTTATTTTTAAATCGTCAATGGTAAGCCCTTTCTGCTACAGCACCCCTACGCTGTTCTGTGTAGAATGGTATCTGCATTTTGAGTTAGAAAAAGTCTTTGCCTGAGAAGGTCCTGACCTTAGTGCCAGCATAGCTCTTCTGAAGCAGAAAGCAGTCCCAACACGAGAGAGGACCCCACCAGCGGAAGCCTTCTGCTCACCACACCACTGCCCACAAAGCCACGGTGGACAAACGCTTTGGAGCAGACACAGCCTCCATGGAGCCGAAACAAAGATGCTAGTATCAACGCAGCTCAGATATCTGCTTGGAAAGCCCTTTGCCCCTTACCTCCAACCTCTGCCTTGCTACTCTCAAAAGTGGAGAGAAAACCAGAAATTGGATAATGCTCTTTACTACCGAAGAATGTGTGTTAGAGGCAAATTTTAACCACTGAAATATGATACAAAAGTAAACATTATTACTACACGTTGCTCTGCCTGGAGCCTCAGGCCTTCTGGGTCACTCAATCGATATTCAATTTTAGGCAAATGGGACCAGTTGTGAGAAGCAAACGCGGGCTCAGCAATTCACAAAGGGAAGTGCCACATGGACAGCTATACGAGGTCGTCTTCAAAGACAGCTCACCAACTCCCTGTTCTGAGTCATCCCAGGGGCCTCCTGAAGCTTAACAACTGTTCTTCTGCAGATTGTGTTCCAGAGGACTCTCTACAACTATGGCCTAAGTTCACTGCAGCAGCTCTGAGATCTCCCCAAGCACCGCTCCCTCCCCTAAGACTTGGGATTGCCTATACCAGGACGAGAGATGGATAGTTCTTGGGTCAGAGGAAGCCTAAGGATGTGGAAGCATCCAGAGGGAGAGGTGATTATTCATTTAAATTCCGACCGAACGTCTCCTGGGGCCCAGTACTCCATTACTGGTGGCAGGCCTGGGACCAGTAGCTGAAGGAACTTTCAGGCTATACTTAGAGGGGGAAGAGCATCACACGAGTCACTACTCCTTTTCACTTATTCCTTCCCCAGAATTTCAGATCCTATCTGTGTTCCTAACACTGGCCAGGGACCAAGAGGAAAGCGATGTTGTGGTCCTGTCCTCCAGCCCTTCCAAGACAATGGGAGGAGTCAGACACGGGAAGGCAGGTGGCTAGGATGTTAATCTGTCCATGGGGTTGGGAGGGAGCAATTCTGCAGGAGGGGAGAGGTGTGTATCAGGCAGTGCTTCGTGGGAACGGTGATGGAAACCTGCAGTCTTCAAGAAGTAGGGTGGGAAGGGATAAGGAGGAAGGAGAAGGTACTGGAAACAGAAATAGGGAGGAGGGAGGACAGCTCTGCAGGGAGTGAGAAATGAGCGGAAGAGGAGAACAGGGACCAGTGACTGGAGCCCGCCTGATGACAAGCAGCACCTGCTCTGCCCAGAGGGTGTTTTCTTTGTGAGTCATTGGCCTGAAGAAGCCCAATCTAGGCACACCCCAGCTATTTCTGCTGCACTGGAAGAGGTAACTGAGGGACTGAGTGGTCACTCTCATGCTCTCCTCTCCCTGAATCCTCTGTCACCCGTGGACATCTGCTGAAGAGAAGAGAGCAATCTGGAAACGTCGATGGTTTGAGAATGAGAAACTCTCAGAAGGAGAGGCAGAGGCCCCTGGCTCTTCCCAAGCGGACAGAGTTCTTGTCAGGGCGACGAA